AATTTTATCTAGCAACAAGTTTTATTTTTATTTTGCAATTAGCAAAGAGGTTTATTTAATCATAAATGAAAATTAAAACCTTTATTTTAATAAATAAAGTATTATTTAATTTTTCTAACATTTTATGCATAATAAACATGTAGATTTTTTTCCCCTAAAAAAACATATAAATATTTCAAACGAGATAAAATGATTACACCTTAATCAGAAGCTTTACGATAAATAAATGAAATAGTAGTATACATAACTGTTTTAGTATTAGTTTTAGTTTTTGCTTCTAAAATGTTATAAATATTTTTATCAGTTGAAAAGGAAATCTGAACAAAATAAAATCAAAAAACTATATAAGTTTGGCTTTACTGAAGCTGTAATACTCTGCACACAAATCTCTTTATGTAAAGTTTCAAACAGTAGACCTAAAAACTAGTAGACTAGTTTATATGTTCATAAACAAAAGGATAAATAAAAGAACAGTCAGTATGAGATATTGGCAGACAGAGAGATATGTGAACTGACAGATATATGGACAGAGAGATATGTAGACACAGAGATATGTATATAGACAGATATGTGCACAGACGAGATTTGAATATACAGATGAGTGGGCAAACAGATATGTAGAGTCACAGTTGTCAAACAAACCGACAGATAGATATGTGAAAAGACAGATATGTGGACAGCCAGATATGTGGACTGGCAGATATGTGGACAGACGAGATTTGGAGAAACGGCTGTGTGGACAGCCAGGTATGTATGCGTCACAATTGTCAAACAAACCGACAGATAGATATGTGAAAAGATAGATATGTGAACAGGCAGATATGTAAGCAGACAGTCGTCAAACATAGGTATATTTATATAACATTTTCACAAACATTTTCCTTAACCCAGAGCTGCACTGAAACACACAGCAATCAATTTCATTACATTTTGGAGTTAATCTGTGTAATTACAATAAGATTTTGTGATAATAATGAAATCTTTTTTATTATTTCTACAAAAATAGTGCTGAAGTTTAATAACAACAGCTATAAAAATTAATTGCATTTGTTTACAGATATAGCTAATATATTATATTTATTCTAATACAAGAGTGAAAGTGAATTTGTTGGTGAAATAAGAAAAACCAACCGACAATTCTAAATAACACACCTTCACTAAAGCCGTAGGGTAAATCATTTAAAACGTAAATCTATACTTCAAATTTGGTGGGGTTCAAGCTAAACTCTTGGTGTTTTCAATCTAAAAAAATAATTATTTATGACTAAATCCAAGAAAGGATTCTGAATATTTCTGTTGATTCGCATTTGCCAATACTGCCAACTTTTTTGTAAAAAAAAAAAATTCATATTGTATAATAATGAATAATTAATTAATAATAATTTTGTTATTTTTTTTTCTCCTTTTTTAATTCAAATAGATTTTTCATAAAGTTAAATTATATTATTTGTACTTAAAGTTTACATATTATTTTCAGTGGTTATTATATATATTGATTTATATTATAACTAATTAATTTTTAGCGTCCGTTTTGATGGAAGAAACTTAATTCTTAATATTAACGTAATAAATTCTTATATTCTCAAAATATTATTCAATAGAGAGGTACTTTGATCAGTATTAAATTACAATATATAATATATAATTATAATTATATTGGTATCATATATTTATACGTGATAGTATTATATACAGATATGGGGGCAGCGATAAAAAGTAGCAGAGGAGTCAAAATTTCAAATTTTTTCTTACAAAAAAATTATATGTAAAACACTGTTTTTTTAATTGAAATAAGTAATGAAGTGCCGCTTATCATCAATTGTTAATTTAAAGGGTTTTGTGTAATCAATAATGAAATTGGTACAATAGGACTCTTCTGACAATTGAGCGATTTCACCTCAAAACTTCAGAAACCTGGTTTTAATTGCTACCAATGAACTACCAGGACAAAAGTACTCATGTGGCGGCTGCTACTGTCCAATACATCTTCCTTACGTTATAAGCCATTACTGTGAGCATACTTTTAAAGGAGTCGCCTTTATTCATAAGCTGACTGTGCTTATGAATATGAGTGTAATAATTTTTATGCTTCTTTAATTTTTTTACGTTATTATAATAAAAAGTCAGATGTAATACTGTCTTCAGAACTAGTTATTTCTTTTAGCAACTCTGGCTCCAATAATTCCAACCAAGTTTTGGAATTTTATGCATTAAATTTACCTATTAGAGGTTATTTAATATATTTTTGTTGATTAAACGGATTAAATGCGTTGTTTTAACGAATTTATTTTCAAATATTTTAACAAAACTTTTTTACTATAGCTCTTATATACAACAGTATGTAGGGTATTATAAAAATATAACTTTGATATAAAGTTAAAAAGGGAAAAATTCATATTCAACCTATAATAAACATATCCGTATATGTGAATTAATATGTGTTTATCTTACTTCGTATTTATATAATTGGAGGTAAACTGTTGATAGCAGTATCAATACCGACTGACGTCGAACGTGTAGATATCTCATTGCGTACCTCAAAAGGCACCAGGTGTGTGCTTGTGAATATTGTAATACCCATTAGGGCTTAACTAGTGAAACGTTTACATTATGAAATATTCACATAAAAATTGTTAACTAATTAAGTTTTTAATAATATATTAATACATTTAAGCTTTTACTTATTTTCACATTATGCAGGATATCATATCTTGAGAGTTTTTTTTTACTAAAAAAGAAATAAATTAAGTTATAAATATTAAAATGAAATTATAAGGCAAAACTGCTTAACTGTACAATAACGCATACATGGGTAACTTTATCTTTTACTCATATATTTAATAATAGATTTACTATTAATTTCCTTGCTCCTCGTGTAAGTTGCATTTAACACTGGTTAACCACAAGATTCATGCGCCACCAACAGTGGTAAAAACGTTTATGGGTGTTTGTGTAGTTATCGTCAGCTCCTGATTAGGTATGTTCACGTGTCTGTACTCGTATGAGAGCTAAATGTGCTGATATTCTGCGTTTCAGTTAATATAACATACATATTTTTAAACATTTTCCATGGTAAACTTAATATTCTATACTTGCCGGTTGATTCTGCTATTTTAGTACGAATTTTTCCATAAATAACACAACAAAATCACGCGCTATAAAAATGTGAAATATTTTATATTCTATGTATTTTTAATCAATTTAATTGCCTCAATTTGCATGAATATTTTAGAAATTTGGTTTATTTCAATGCAGTTATTGTGCATTCATAGCTATAGAAATTTAATTACGAAATAACGATGTAGTACAAATATTAAACGTGTTCTACAGATTTATTTACCAGAAACAAAACTTATTATTTACATTGAAATGCAATTGTATTTCTATATAGCCGGTTGTAATTATTATTTGTGTATTTGAAACTTTATAGTTACAAAAATTTACATTTTTCCAAAATTTTAATTGAAAATATTTTTCCATTGTTATAAATGAAGAATTTTAAAATATGTATTAATTTTAAAATTTAATTTAAATAAAGTCAATATATTTAAATAAGTTTCGAAATAAATTTTAAAAACAAATTTCAAATTGTGTAATGTATGGGACGCCAAAGGACAAACTTAGGAGGAACAGATATGGTACGAATATAAATTTTATATTTTTAATATTGTTTATGTATTTATTATTAGTTTAAAAGAAACAGTATAAAAATTAATAGAGGATTGAGCACTACTAGCTAAAGTTCTGTTGTGCCACCTTCATTGACTTAGAATATTTCTCCAAGTCTGATAGTAATGAACTATATCGCTATTAGAATATACTGATAAGCTTCGTATGATTAAATAGACAGTTATTATTTGATATAAAATTATATTCTGGTACGTGCAGTCTCAAAAAATTATTTACGAATAATTAAATACAAGAATTATTTCCAAGACCACTGATGATGGGTATTTGGTAATATTCGAAATAGCCTGACCGTAAATTTTTGTTGTTTCACTACTATTCCAAAAACCTCTTTATAAAATTATATATAAATTTATATATATAAAGTATATAAAATTATTATAATATACTTCTTTAAGTAGACAGAATATGTTCTGCAAATATTGTTCAATTCCTGAATAACTCATATCAGAATTCAAGTTATATTTACAGTAGATCACCGAAGTGATCACAGACACTATTGAGTAAAAGCACTTGAAGCACTAACTCGTGTTTTATCGGCAAAAAAGAAATTAATAAAGGGTGCTTTGTGAGTATATAATATTATAATAACTATAACTGAATTGATTTCTTGTACCTCTCAGTGAGCTATGCATTTGCAAGCACTAAATTGAAATTGGTGAGCTATAATGTGTGGAGCATAAACAATTTTCATTCTGCCTCTCTAACTGATCTTATATTCTTTAAAAAACCTTAGAAATTCTAGTTAGATTTGTCTATTCGAGATACTTGAAATTTTTTCTGGGTGCAGTGGTTTTGTCCTGCCCAACACTAAAGAAAAAATAAATAAAGAAATATACTACTCAACCAGCTAATTCCTTATTACATTAAAATGTACTTGAAAACTATGTGTATTGTCCTGAAAATAAATTTGTTGCAATTATAAATGTGTAGCAATAATATTTTAACCAGCGAATGTTTGTTTCCAAGTAGTTCAATACCTTTAATTTATTATAATAGAAAAGAGATTTTATGTAGCACTTAGAAAATAATACAAAGGCATAACGCCACAAGAATCTGTAATCTGATTCATAAAGTATATGCCCCATCGAGTTAAACCTAAAACTATTGTACAAACCTTATAAAGCTTATATATTGCACGTTTTTGAAGACCAAAAAGTAATTGATCATATATTTATAGCGCTCTCCCTTGAAAATTATATGCCTTATTCTGAAATCAAAACCTGTTAATATCAAAACGAATGACTACAATTAATTAATATTAGAAACTAATTAATGAATTTATATTTTATTTACAGAGTTACATAAAAAAAAGAAGTTGTATAAAGGACCCTTCAATCCAATGCCAGCCCGAAAGGGGCTGCTAGCGCCCCAAAATACATTCTTGGATACCATCGCAACACGTTTCGATGGCACACGTAAGTGTATAGTTCTTATATATTTATATATATTTTATACTATATATAAATGTTTTATATGTATATTTAAGTATTTTTAAATCTTATCTAACTTTAACCCTGCCTTACAAACAAATGAACTGTTTTCGTCATCTTGCGAGTACATGCTACTGGTACATGCTACTGCAGATAGTAATTCCCTTGTAATCAAAATTACAGTACTAGTCTTCAATATAAATAGTAGAATTGATAATCTATTTAAATATAGTATATAATATATACTACATACTATATAATATATAATATATACTATATAGTATATTATAGTGTATTATATAGCATATATTCTGTGTGTTACCTTACTATCTTAAAAAAAAAAAGTACTCTTATTTATTTATGTACAAAACATACTAACACCAGTATCAGCGCCTTATTCACCGGATCTTATACCCATCGAGTTTCACTTTTTAAGAGACTATGTGTTTTTAATTTGCCAGTTAATAATTATCTAGCAATGTCAGCTTGCCTTATTTGTTTATCCAACCTTTAAATTAAATTTATTAAAAGGTAACAATATTCCTTTATGCAATAATTTTAGGTACATACATACATATGTACTTGTATAATTTTTTTTAAATTTGCATAAATCCGTACCCATCCGTACCCATATATCATCATAAATATTTATAAAAAATCAAAGTTCAAAGCTATTCTTTTTAAAAGATTACTTTGAAACAAGAAGTATAAATTACTAAATACTAAAACGTTTGCTTTAACTACGTGTACATAAGTCCTACTAACCTTGGTGTCAGATACCAAAAGTGACTTAGTCAGAATTTGCAGTACAAGTTTGGTAGAAAGTAACTCTGTGCCTGTATGTATGTCAAAATGCTTGACACGTGTGTGTAAAAATAACAATTATGCTAATAAAAATATTTATGCTTCCTGGAACAATAAGTATGGGCAATAATAATGTTTTCTAAGCAAAACACAGGCACGTACATACTCAACTTGACTGCCTCAATATTTCATACGCACAAGTAACATCGGGTTTCCAATCGAGTAAAAAAAATATTCGTTCTACAAGTTCATCCTTTGCTGTTTAATGAATCCTTAAAACTTTTTTCTTAATTGACGTCAATGCATTGTCGTAAAATTTAAAAATGATGCATTATAATATATCATAGGAATTTTTTCTGAAGAAATGTGGCAGCCATACAAACCTTTAAATTTTCTTTGAAATTAAGCAATATTAATTCATGATTAATTTGAAGGTGAAATTCTCGAAGTAGTATTTAAGGAAAGTGAAAAAGAAAATAGTAATTTAGCACTATTTATTATTAGCACTATAGAGCTCTGTAATAAAGTTAAATTAATTTTGTCGTCTTTAATTTGTCGTCTCTATCTGATAGAATTCAAGAAAATCTCTTTAGAGAGATTAATTTGGTTATTAAAATCAGAAACACGCCCAGGCAAATACATGAAAAATTATAAATTAAAATTTTAATTTTAATCAAGTTTAATCAATTTCGGATACCGCCAAATATAAACCGTGAACGGATATGTTTAATGATGAAAAATAGTTTAGGACATATCCAAGAGTTTACATTTTCTTAAATTAAAATTGCATTGGAATGAATGTTAGGTGGTAGAAAGTAGACAATGACGTCAAATAAATCGGTTTTATTGACCAGGCGTGATCTAAAGATTTTGTTGTCACCAAATTCTACCTCTTGTAAGTTGACAGTTTCTTTAGGACTATGTCTTGACTCATTATTCTATTAAAATTTAGAACCTCTCAGATTATTTTCATATCCTTTCAGAACCAAAAAAAAAATTTATATATGTTTTTATTATTATTTATATCATTTCTTTCATTTTTATTTTTTAAATGCAGTAACGCATTTAGCGGACGTTGATGTTTGCATTTTCTTCCCGATGATAACGACAGCTTATAAACTGCCATCATTGCATTTTTCAAATGCAGTAGTTTTATTTATTATTGACAAAGCTATTGAAGCGGAAGTGAGCCTAATGGCTAAATGGTTTTTTGCTCTATGAAAATATTCTATAGAGCAATGAATTTGAAAATAAATGTACAAACAATGTACAGGGGCATGAATATCTGTATGATGATTTATCAAACAATTACGTATGTAACTAACAGACATACAATTAGCTTTTCGATGAACATTTTGAGTCATGCCACATAAAAAAATAAAGTGAAAAGTAAAAAAGATTTTACTTAACTACTGCATGACGAACTGATTTATTTGAATATCTGTTCTCAACAATTAGTGTAGTGCGAAGTACTCTATTAAGGACAAAAACTGTGACACTGTTGAGAAAGTATCGTAAGATATATATTCATAACGACGCTAAATCAGATAATTTTTTCGGTATTTTATCGAAAAGTACAGTTCTCACAATATACTGGCAGGTTATCATTTGATGCATTTTTTGCAACTTTCGATTGCTGTCATAGAACTGAAGTTATGTATTGACTGTGAAAAAATTTCTCTAATATATAAATTACTTAATAAATAACTACAAGCTCTAAGTTTATATGTGTATGTAATATTAAGAAATGCTTCAAATTTAATACTTTGAATATATAAGTATAACAAAAGGATACAGGTTTTTAGGAAGATACTTCTTTGATAGTTTATCAAACTGCTCATCGGTGAAGACGAAAGACCTATTAAATTATCTAAATTCTGCGGGATGAATTTAGTCTCTACTTTTCTTTACTAGTGTTCTTGCGAGGAATGTGGTAGCAAAACGGCAAAAAATCGGTAATTGAAGTACATGGAACTTATCTAATGGCCTGCCACTGCAACCAACCAACCATAACAAAACAAATACTTTTGCATAACCGATTTTTATTGCTCAAAATACAACAATTTGCAAGATCTAAAAGCATATAAAATGAGTATTTTAGATTATTGGTGTTGATGTGCTTAAGGTCATTTATGCAAGTCTTCTGGATGGCTTCTGTATCCGCAAAACACTGTGCTCTCATTAGCATATACATTTTACCAAAAAAATGAACGTCGCACGATGTCAAGTAACGTAAATTGTTAATAATTTTAATACAAATATCATTTTTTAAATATCCTTACTTTAACGTTCTTGATAAGTGCTTTAACTTAGTAAAGAGTTTTTATTTATTTTGAAAAGCATAGCTATTTTGAGATCTATAATATTATTTACTAGTAAAAACCAAGAGAAAATAAGTCACTCATACGCCAGGGTAAACGAACATTAACATAATATCTCACAAATCAATACTATACCAATTCAATCAAATGTATGTTATGAATGAATAAACATATTAATTAATATAAGATGTATGTATACTATGCATATGAATCGATAGTTTTGTTTTACATTATTGTCAGAATTACCACAATTCATGTTTTTTTTATCTTTTATACAAAAAATCTATACTTGAAATGCTTCGTTAATGAAGAAACTTTTTCACAAGCTTTTTACCACGAGTGGGTTCCGACTTGGTAACAAAAATCAGAAATGCTCCGCAACTCATTTTGTCATATCACCAACACATTAAATAGAAGCAAAAATGTTATTGCAATATTGCATACCAATTACTCTGCATGTGGCTCTTTCGCATGTTAAAAATGACATTTCCCAACAAATAGCACAACATATGTGACATTATGTAAATACAAATTTTGTATCTACAAAAATGCGGTTTTTATAATTTTTGTTATAAACTCAGAGTTGGCATTCATTTGAAAATGAAATCGTGTTGAAAGTATATACATAATTTACAGTTTTTCCTAAAACTGCTAAAAATTATAGAATCTAACTATTTCATTAATCAAATACCATTTTAATAATGTAAACCAGAGTAATTTGGAACGATGTCAAATGGATAATGATCTCAAGAATTTAATTGCTAATTTGTTATAATAAGTTATTGTGATCATTTAAATCTGAATGAAATATGCCAAAAAGAGAATTAAGTTAAATGAAGCATATTATTAATGCCACAAGCTTTCGTGAGATCGAGACCACATTAAAAATAATGGAAGTTATGAGTGTCCGATGACTATTTATATCGAAGATATCGGAAAAATTAAGTAGATCATTCTGGCGTATTTAATAAATATCATTAGAAATGCTGTCGGAAAAATAAGAATATAATACAGCTTATGTGAAGTGATTAAAATGAATGTTTATGACACAAAACTAAAAATTATTGCTTATAACACAATTCTGAAGAAATTGTACATTGTACTTTCCTATTTCCAAATCAAAAATACACTAAAAGTACAATGTAAATCAACAATATATAAGTTAAATACGAAATCGCAGAGCTAGCTTAAGATTATACCTAAAACGGCGTACCAATATTGTTTCTCAAACTGAAAACTGAAAACGTTAGCATAAGCGGCAAAGACTCTTACTTACTAACTTAGGGATTACAGACGAGGGTCGTCCTTGGCCGCGTCGAGTAGCGTTCGCCAGTCAGCCCGATTAGTTGCTTGCTGTCGCCAGTTGGTAGTACCGAGCGCCCCCAAATCATTAGTCACCTGACGGTCACCAAATCGTCCGCTACTGCGTTTTCCACCTGTAGATATCGAATCTTCTAATTATTAATAACTGTTAGTGCATAGTTGTTTTAGCTATTTTAAAAATTCCTCTTTACGTTAAATGCTTTGGTATAGCACTTTCTTATTCTCTGTAATTACTTATTTATTACTTATTTCTGTAACTATAGCTTCAGATACAGCTATTACATTTATATCATAATTTTTTCAAAATTGTTCTGGCCATAAAAACAACAAATACAACAGAAAAACTTTTGTCACACCAGGATGAATGGTTTGGGATCTTATTAAATTTCTGCTATAGAATAAGACTTAATTATGCCTTTTACTCCATGGTACACATATTTATAAAAACTCTACTAGATTATTTTTGTGACAAGATGTGAATTGAATTATATCATGAATAAGCTTGCTTATATTTTAAAAAAGTATTTTTTGTGACAC